TATATATATATATGAGTGTCTTGCCTGTGTGGATGTAAGAGCACTACATGTGTGCAATGTCTGGGAGTGGGCAGAAGAGGAACTGGAGTTAAGTATGGCTGTTAGCCACCATGTAGATGCTGAAAACCAAACCTGGGTCCTCTGCAAGAGCAGCCAGTGCTCTTAACTGTTGAGACATCTTTCCAGCCCATAAAAAGAAATCTTTAAGGCATAAAAATTGTTCTTTAAAAAATGCAAGGACTTTGAACAACCATGAGAATTTCAGATAGCAAGGAACCGTGCTTTTTGCTTCAGAACACAGGTCTCTTTAGGGTTTTCTGTCAATATTCAGGGTTCTGGACAGGGCTAGTGCCACTTACTCAATAAGAGAATGGAAAATCCACAAAGGTTTCCCCATGGAATGTCATCGAAGGAGCTCCAGTGTTCCACTTTGGTGAAGTAGAGGATGACAGGGATGCAGGTGATGAAGAAGATGTTGAACACACCCAGGATGGACAGGAATAAGGCTGCTTCTCCAAACTTGGCACTGCCCAGCAGCAGCTTGAACAGAACCTGTCAGAGAGAGGAGGAGGCAAGGCCACCTCTGGAGCCAGCTGTGGGTGAGTGGAGGAGTGCATATGTGATAAAGCCAGGGCTGACTGCACATTGGACACCATAGTTCTGTTGAGTCTAGCCTCAGTTGACTGTCACTGAAGGGCAAAGGAGCTTGATGGCACTTCATGGTCCATGCTATAATACCTCAGGGTGAGTTACCATCTGGCCTCACAGAGCACATCTTCAGGAGTCATGGGTCTGCACACTGGGTGTGACCATTGTGCTGTGTTCACAACTCCACACCCCTTGGAACTATCTGCCATGACCACACAACCTTTCAGGAGACCCAAAATGGATCTTGACTCCAGTCAGTGCACACACGTGTGTGTATGCACCTGTGTGTGCGCACGTGTGTGTGTATGAGAGATAGATATGTTCATATGCACGTAGGAACACGTGTGTGGGTATGCATGCTTATGTGTGTGTGTGTGTGTGTGTGTGTGTGTGTGTGTGTGTAGAGATCAAAGGCTGACCTCCGGTGTCTTCCTAGATTACTCTCCACCTTCTATACTGAAGAAAGATCTTTCACTTGAACTCAGAACTTGCTGATTTGGTCAGTTTAGCTAAGTTCCTTGGGGGATTCCTTGTCTCTACCTCCTACGTGCTGGGATTACAGGCAGCCCTCCTTGCCCAGCTGGCATTAGGTGACACTGGGGATTCAAACATCAGTCCTCATACTTGCAAGCAAATGCTTTACCTGTGGATAGCACATTTAACAGCCATTGCCCCCCAAAAGAGGTCTTTGCCTACAAAGATGTTTTCTTACCAAGGGTGAAGGGATTCTTCTCACCTGTTTCATCCTACTTCCCATTCCAGGAATGGCATGGTTTTTAGTGGAGTGCGCTAAAATTTATTCCAGTACCTGTTCTTGTTTGCACATCACTTTGGGTGTTCAAAGGCAGGAGGAGAGGGACAGATGTGACTGAGTGGTCAGACATGCTGCAGGCCCCATCCAGACTGGTGCTTGGTGAACTGGGAGTCCAGTTGAATATCTGCATGACTGTCCCTCCCCTCCCCCGTCCCTGTGGCTCCCTTGCCCAGTATGTTCAGTCAACACAGAAAGGACAAAGGACAGAGACGGGCTTCTGGCCGCCTACCTGTTAGTCCCTCTGACAGGTTTGAATATGGAGTGTCCCCCACAGGCTCATGTGTTTGAACACTTGGTCTCCAGCTTGTGACATTGTTTGGGAAGGTTATGGAACCTTCAGCGGGTGGAGCCTTGCTGGAGGAAAGGGGTCCCTGGGGATTTCAGCCAGCCCTACTTTCTGTTCTCTCTCTGCTTCCTGCCAGTATAGTGTGACCAGCAACCTCACCTTCTGCTGCAGTTGCTTGCTATGGTGGGCTGTATGCCTGTTGGAACTGGAAGCCAGAAAAACTTTCTCTTTTTTTAAAAAAAATATTTTATTATTTTTATTTTACGTGTATGAGTGTATTGCCTGCATGTATGTGAGTGCACCCGTGTCGTGCAATGCCACGGAGGTCAGAAGAGGGCTTCGGATTCCTCTGGAACTGGAGTTAAGGATGGTTCGTAGCCACCATGTGGGTGCTGGGAATCGAGCCCAGGTCCTCTGTAAGAGCAGTCAGTGCTCTTAACCACTGAGCCATCTCTCCAGCCCCTTCTCTCTCTTTTATAAGTTACATTTTTGTTTACTTTACTGCGTGGGTGTGTGCGTGCGTGCGCGTGTGTACATGCCATAGCACATGTGTGGAAATCAGAGGACAGCTTGCAGAAGTTTTTTTCTCTCCTTCCATTATATGGGTACTAGGAATAAGACTCAGGCTATCTGGCTTGGTGGCAGGAACCTTTACTCACTAAGTCATGGTGCTGGCCCTGCCCTCTTTCTCTCTTAAGTTACTTTGGTCAGGTATGTTGTCACAGCAACATGTAAAGGAGCTAAGAAAGGTTTCTGGCAGGAGGGGAGATGGAGACAGAAACCTGAGTTGGAGCGAAGTAGGCTGTGGCCCGAATTTCCTCACTTTCTGCCCTGCATTATTGCACAGAGAACCCATTAGAACACAGTGTGGCTGTCCACACCCTCTGCCTTTGGACAGTGGTTTCTTTGAAGTCTGCCTTACACTGCGCTCTCACACCCCTCTTGAGACGTATGTAGAAGCAGAGGATAACATGCTGTCTCTGCCTGTAGAGAGGGCCAGAATCCAGAGGATAGGAAGGCAAAATGAATCCACTTCCCTCAGACTCTTAACACAGGGTCCTCACAGCATAGGGAAAGCCCTTTCCCAGGCCCTTTCTGCACAGCTCCATTTTCACAGTCCTGTTGGTGGAGCACCAAGATAAACTCCACTGTTCAGAGTCTACAGGTTGCTTTCCATCCTGGATGCCTGAGAATTTTATGTTTTATCTCCTCCATCTGAGAAGGAGAGGGAGGGAGAGAGAGGAGCTGGGGGAGAAGGGGGAGAGAAGGGGAGAGGGGCCCTGGGAGAGGATGGGGGAGGAGAGGAGGAGCAGGAGAGGAGGGAGGGAGAGATGCAACTTAGGGGAGAAGTAAGCAGGAGGAAGGAGGGAGAGAGCAGGCCCAGGGAGAAGGAGGGGAGGAGCAGGAGAGGGAAACGAGATGGGGGCTAAGGGAAATGACAGCATGGAGTCTGAAGGACTTGAGGGTCCATAAGGCAGGGACCCTGTTTTGGAACTGACAACTGACATGTGTCTCTATACCTGCAGCTGGAATGGACTTTCAGATCGCTTCCGACATCGTGTAAAAAAATTTATTTTTCTTTTCTGAGGAGTGTCTCATGGTTAGGCCAGGCTGGCCTCAAACTCAGGACAGTGCTTTTACCTCATCTAGCACTGGGATGACAGGCATGGGCTGCCACACCCAGCTCTCCCGTCTTTCTGAGTATTCAGTTCATAAGCAATTCTTGAACTACTCCTGGATCCATACCGGCTGGTATCACAAAAGCCACGTGACCAAAGATTTACATGACAAAGCCACACCACACAATCTAGTCTTCATATCCCATCAGACACAAACACAGGGGCAAGCTGAGGGGCCTAGTCCTTCTCTACTGTCCTCCTGGACCCTGCCCTTGACTGTCAGCATCTTGGTGCATACTGAAAATACCCACACTTCTAAACAACCCAGGCACCACAGGGATCTCCCAAGTGACAGACCTTGAGTCCCAGAGCCCTGCTGCCCCTGCACCTACCTTGTAGAGGGCTGACATGGACGCGGAGCCCACCACCAGGGCTATGCCGATGACCGAGTGACTGTGGAACCCGTCAGCATAGGTCATCATGACAATGCCGGCGATGGCGAGGATGGCGGCCACAATCTGCAGGGAGGGAAGGAAACGCTCTTAGGCTGTGGGAAGGATTCACAGGTGCCAGGGAGCTAGAATGTCCTACTCGTGCTTCTGCCAGGTGGGGGGAGGTAGCAGAGAGACCGATGGGCATTGCTTACAGGGGCACCTAGCCAAGCTTGGCATGACCCACCCTGAGGCAGGTGGCAGCCAGGTGGTGGTGTGGCTTTGCCTCATGCTGCAGCCGGTGTTGGCCACTGAATCTTGAGAGCTTAGAGATCATGCTGTGGTGACTCAGTTATGACAGGACCCGAGGGGCAGTCCCTGGTCCACACTTGGGATTACCTGAGCTCCTTCCCAACCTTCCGAAGGTACCTCCTGTGGTCTGGCTTTTGTTTTCTTGTTTCAATAGGGAACACAGTGGGGAGAGAAATTTGTCCCCATTACAGGTCAGCAGTAGGGGCTGTCAGAGCACCACTGACCATCGAGGGCTGCAAACCACACCCTGACCTGGAGGTATGGCCCTTCTCAGTTGGTTCTCCCTAACATCACTTGTGCAGTTCTTAGCACTTCTGGCTTGCACAGAAACTTCCGGGACAAGGCCAAGCTGGAACAGCATCTCCAGGGACAAAGTGCTTAGCACGTAGGACAAGGGCAACGTGCAAGCAGGTAGCCACAGAGCTGACAGGGCCTTAGGGAAGGGGTGGGGAGACCTGTTGGACTGACTTGCAGCAGCATCAGACAGCTAAGATTTACTGAGAGCCCAAGAGATAAGCATTTCCTGTATAGTTTCTCATTTTGTTCTCCACACAGGTAGGTAGTGTCATTTACCTCATTTTATGGGCACAAGGACTTAGACTCAGAGAGGTTAAGGAAATTGCTCGAAGTCACACAGCTGGTGGAGGAAAAGCAGATACACAGGCTGTGGGTCTGTTTGATGACAAAGCTGGTTTAACACATATAATGGGCAAGTCTGATTCCCACGTGCTGGTTAATTGCAATTGTCAACTTGATGGAATTTAGAAATAGCATGGAAACACACTTCTGGGCCTGCCTGTAAGGGAGCTTCAGGATGGGGTTAATGAAGATGGAAAAGCCCACCCTAAATGCAGGCGGCACCAGCCCATGGGCTGGAGTCCTGGGCTGAATTGAAAGGAGAAAGTGAGTTGAGCACCAGCATTCATCTCTCTCTGCTACCTGACTGCAGATGCCATGTGACCAGCTGCCTCAGGCTCCTGTCACCATGCCTTCCAGTCATGATGGACTGTATCCTCTGGAACTGTCATGCAGAATAACCCCTTCCTTAAGTTGCTTTTGTCGGGTATTTTGTCACAGCAAAGAGAAAAGTAACTGATACACATGGTAAGCTGCTGCCAGCTACGTTCTTAGATGCGAATCAAGGCTTCCCTGGTAGGCCACACAGACAATGCTTAGGTTAGTAAGAGGCAACATGACTGACTCTCAGTGCATCTGAGCCACGTACTTCTAGTGCATGCCTCCTGCAACACTCCCATACAATGCTGTATTTCCCGGTAAAACAGAGGCCCTGTCAAGCTGATGACTATCGGCCTTGGTCTGCCTGCTTGTTCTTGCTGACTTATAGATCCCTTGGAGCCAACTGCTTCTCTCTGTATTACCATACACACGTATTTCATATCCAAATGCTACATGCCTTGGGAGCAACTGTTTAATGCAAGAAGCAGCAGGGATGGTACAACAGCAAACACCTCCTACCCTAGAACAAGAACGGAGCAGGCAAAACACAGAAGGGAAACAGGGTGGCTTCTGCCTGCAGGGCACAGGTGGTACAGAGATGCTGCTGCTGGGAATAGTTCAGCCCTCAGGAGTCAAAGGTACCTGCCCAGAGGAAGAATTCAAGGATGAAGGATGTGGCTCAGTTGGTAGAGTGCATGCACTTAACATGCACAGAGTCCTGGGTTCCATTCCCAACACCACATAAACTAGGTGTGGTGGGGCACACCTGTAATCCCAGCAGTCAGGAGTTGGAGGCAGGAGGATCAGAAGTTCAAGGTCATCCTCAGCTACAGAGTGAGTTTGAGGACAGCCTGGGATAATGAGACCCTGTCTAAAGAAAAGGAAAGAAAAATTAAGCAAGAAGAAGGAAAGGAAGAAAATAGCTGCATTTCTGATGATTCCAAAAATGTTTGAGCCCAAACTTATGGCTGATGTTTGAAGACATGAAAGACAATGGGCTATTTTCTTCCCTGAAGATTTGCGTGGCAGATTCCAGCCCTTTCCATTCTCTTCTCTATGTTAAAAATAAGTTAAGCACTTCTATCTGAGCTGGGCTGGGCAGAGGAGTTGGGGAGAGGCTAGAAGGATCAGAACAGAAAGGGTGGGAGCCACATGACTCCCCTCAGCTGTGGAGACAAACATCCCAGTAGCCCCAGAGCCCTGTGGGTTCACTCTGACAGGTGACACCTGGGACAGTGATCTCCCAGGGGCCCAGTGTAATTCACAGGGTCTGTGAGCCTGGCTGTGGGGCACGTGTTTTCTGAACATCAGCAGCCCCTTTGGAGGACCCAGCCAGTGCCAGAAGGTTGTGTGGGCAGCTTTCCACCTCACTTTCAAGTCCCCTCAGTCAGAAGACCAGAGCCCAGGGCCTTCCCCAGCCTGGGAGTCAATGGATTCTGGGTGTGTTAGGGAGGATGGGTCTGCTTTATGTTCTGCACCCTAACATATGGGAGTTTCTTGGTTTCATTGAGAAAGTATTCTCTTGCCTATTTTCTGAACTACAGTGAATCCTTTTCAAGGCTGGTCAAGCGTCCTGTGGATTTCCAAGTACTGGGCACAACTGCCTCATCCAGGGTGCCTGATGGTGGCCTCTGTCCAGTCTAAACACCAGGTAACTAAGACACAGAGACGTTGGTATTCCAGTTAAGGTCACACACATCATAAAAGAGTGCAGTCAATAGTCACAGCCTCAGCCCTCGCTCCCAGCCTGAGCATTTTACCACCATGCAAGAACCTCTGGTCCAGGACTCATGTGAAAAGCACCTGTCAACACAGAGACAAGGTCAGCTTGAGCTCCCTTCACACAGACACCTTGGTAACATCTCTCCCTCTGATACAAGGAGTGACTAGGGTCTCAACAGTATAAAGCACAAGTTCTTCTTTTTAGATCTGTTCATCTGGCTTAGAACTGTGAGAGCCCCCCCCCGCCCCCAGGAGCTGTGACCAGTGATTAGACAGCTGTTCTAACCACTTAAGTCTCATGTACATCTACCCCCACAAAGGAGAGTTAGCACTTAAGTTTTTGGAAATTTTCTAGAGATATAGCTGCCTGCCCCAGGAGACTGCAGGAAGGCTGAACGATCAGTGCAGTTACATGCAACCTTGGCTTCTTCCTCCAGTTGTCTTTCAAGGGAACCATTCAATATCATAGACACTGTGCACTCTGAGTACTTCCAGATTAGAGGGGGCCATGGGAAGCTCTTTAGTGACTAGCTGTGTACTCCTAGAAGTTACCACGTCTGCATAGTGCCTGCATGTTTCATCCCATCATCCATGCTGGCCTCATGGCCCTTCCCTACAGCAACCACTGAGTACTAAAGGCCTTGAGCACAAAATTGTAGTGTTCAGTGGTCCTCAAAGACCACTCCAATCAGAGGCCAACATGGCCAAATGGTATCACAGTGCAGGGCTGTTGGGAAGCTCGTCTATCCATAGACAGCGACCAAGCGCAGATCTAAGTGCCTCCCTGATCTCGTCTGTGAGTAGTTCACGCTTATTCACACCCACATTTCTCAACCTCAAAACCATTCTGTTTTCTCTGCATCATTGACCTTGAAGTGTCTCTTCCAGTAACAAGAATTTACTTGGGACATCTGAGTAACACCCCAAAGCTCCATGAATAATTCTCTTTGCACTCTAAATAAAGTCTGAAGGGGCATGATGGTAGGTCAACATCCCTTGGACATCCAAGTCTTTAGCCTCGAGTCAGGCAGGCCTGAGGCCAGTGACTACATGAAACACCGGCAGTCTTCCCAGAGCTGTATTAGATCATTTATTTGCTGAAGGTTTTTCTGGGTGGCAGGCCGGGGCGTGAGTTTTTTTTTCCAAAATTAACATTGAGCCTCAAAACAAACTCCCCCCCTCCCCGCGCTACAACCTAAAAATACAAACCAGCAGTTGACTCATGTCCCCACTGGTGTTTGTGTAACTCGGGTGGGTGGAGCCTACCCTTAGGTGATGTCATCATGCCTAGGACAATGAGGAGAGGATAGACTTGAAGTCAGCTCCTTGATGATTGCCAACATGGTTACCCTGCACTGGGCAGGTATAGTATAGAGGAGGAAGGGAGAAATGATTAGCTGCACCTGTGAGAGAGCCAGTGCCAGTGGAGTGACCAGTGTTCTGTTTTGCTTTGTGGTAAGATGACCAGCAGAGGCAACCCCTGGCCACCAGAGGGAGCCAGGCAAAAGCCGCTTATAGTCTGTCCTTGCTAAATGGCACCTGCTCCTTCCCAGTGGGTTGAGTTTCTCCAGGTTCCATTCGGTATTTGACAGTGCACTTACCACACTCCATGCAACTGTTAGGCAATAGGACTACCTTTGAATTTACTAAGACCCTCCTGGGAAAATTCCAGGCCACCGAGGGATTTCTCTGAGCTTGCCCTTTGTCTACAGCGTGAAGAGGAATGGCTCCCTCCTCCCAGTGTGAACTTGACATGAGGTGTTTCTGGCTATATGCTTCAGGCAAAGCTCCAAGACTCTCCCACACAAGGATACCCAAGGATCCTTAAGTGTCAGAGTGATGTCAGAAAGCTGCTGGCTGCAGGGTACATCCATGCCACGTGCTGCAGCCCAGAAGGTTGCCATGGGACGGGGTGCACACGCAGAGGGCAGAGCACATTGCCACTCCCCACTGGGCACACACTTGAGGGAATGCTTGTGGAAATGCTTGGGATGAGAGGCGCTCCCATGAATGCTGCCTAGCATGGTTGGCAAGCAAGAGGGTTTGCAAAACACACCAAGAACGAAACGCTGTGCTGGGCTTCTGCTGAGAATTAGAAGGATGGTAGCCAGCAGCTGACATGGTCCAGCACATGGAGCTAAGCAAGCCAATGGGAGGGTTTTGGTTGGTATGACTGAGCGAGGGAGGAAGACAGATAATAGAGAACTTACCCTCACTCCCATGAACCTGTCCCTGAGAACGATCCACGACAGCAAGAAAACAAAAGCTTTGTTGCAGCAGAATAACACGGAGACATCCGTAGTGTTTATTTTCTTTATTGCGTGTAAGTACAGGTAGTTTGTGAGTGTCCAAAGAACCCCGAAAGGCGCTGCCTTGGTAAAAAACACCTTCAAAGTCAAGCCATTGTCTCCAAAAAATTGACAGCATTCCCTAAAACAAGGAGAGAGAGGCAGTGTTATTGTCTCGGATTCACACACACCATGACTTGTCTTATGCTCAGTTAATATATATATATATGTGTGTCTTGAAGAAAATATAGGCGGGCTTGGGATGTAGCTCAGTTGGTAGAGTACTTGCCTAGCATGCTTGAAGCTCTGGGTTCAATCCCTAGCACTACATAAACCAGGAGTGGTGGTATGAGCCTTAATCCTAGCACTTGGGAGGTAGAGGCAGGAGGATCAAAAGTTCAAGGTCATCCTCAACTATAAAGTGAGTTTAAGGCCAGCCTTGGCTACACAAGACTCTGTCTCAAAAAATAAAAATAAAGACAGGATGGAGAGATGGCTCAGCAGTTAAGAGCATTGGCTGCTCTTGCAGAGGACCTGGGTTTGGTTCTTAGCACCCACATATGGCTAACAACTGTCCATAACTCCAGTTACAGGAGATTTGACTCCCTCTTCTGGCCTCTGGGGGCAGGCATTGGATGCACATGGTTCACATGCATGCAAAATATTCAAACACATAAAGTGAAAGTTAAAAAAAAAGAAAATATAAGAAGGGACAAGGCCTTTTATTATCATTTTATTATTTGTATGTGCATGTGCTTGTGTGTGTGTGTGTGTGTGTGTGTGTGTGTGTGTGTGTGTATACATATACATGCAGGTGCCTGCAGAGGAAGTTGGAGTTATAGGTGGTTGTGATATAGGTCCTGGGAACCAAACTTGGGTCCTTTGCAAGAGCAGTCCGTCCTTTTAACTACTGTACCATCTCTCTAACTCCTATTGTCACTTTGGTAAACACAGTCTACCTCTCCAGCCCCTGGACTTGCTTTAGTCCAGTGACCTTGCTTTAGTCCAGTGACCTGATTCCATAGACCATACCTTTAGTATACGTCAAGTTGGCTTTCTGTGGAAGGTGTGCTGGGATTATCTGACCTGGAGACCTGAGTCCGGGGTGACCGAATAAGGGGTTCTGTGACTCTCTGAGAACAAGACAGAATCACTGCCAGAGTGTCTGACCCATAGCCCACCGCATGCAGCTCAGGATGGCTAATAAGAGAGCCCAACATAAAATTGTAAACTTATTTAAAATATTACAAGGCTTTGTCTGATTTTTTTGTGATTTTTGTTTTTGCAACTCAATGTGTGGTTCTTGAGAGTGAACTTTGTATTTGTAGATGACAATATCATGTCACAGTGTCAAAAGGCTAGACAGTCCTGTGTTGACTAGACTTTTTAATTTAATTTTAGTTTTTGATAGGGTGAGTGGTGAGAGGAATGGGCATTTTGCCTTTGCAGTCAGGCAGGGATAGGAACTTTTTATAAAAAGATTTATTTTTTATTTCTATGTATTTGTGTGCATCTCTGTGTGAGATGTGGCTGTGAGTGCAGGTGTCCATAGAGGCTGGAAGAAGGTGTTAGATTCCCTGGAGCTAGAGTTACAGGTGACTGTGAGTTACCCAATGTGGGTGTCAGGAACTGAAATTGATTCCTCTGCCAGAGGATTCAGTGTGCTTAACCACTGAGCCATCTCTCCAGCTCCCGGATAGAGATTTTTTGAACACACTAATACATTCTGGCTATGATAAAATAGTTTCAACTACCTTATAATCTTCTCTCTACTTTATTCCACCATGTGGAAGTCCCCCCTCTCTAAGAGCCTAGGAAGAACAGAAGCAGCAAGCCCATCCAGGAGGTGAGAGAGTCTTTTAAGATAGGATTAGACCAGGGAACACCTCTGAAGAAATCTTTTCAAATCATTCCAGGTTCTCCAAAGAAGGATTCTCGGTGTTTTAAAATGTTTAACAAAAGCAATGCCAGTCTTCCACATAAAGCTGGGGGCGGGAGGTGTCTTAGGCGGTATTAAACATGGGGAGAGCCCATCGAGAGGGGCTCCTTGATCTGTGGCTTTCTGGAGTGAAGATATCACCTGAAGATCCTGGTGAGGAGGGGGATGACAAGGTTGTCCCTAGAGGTCCCTGTCCATGGTATAGCTCAGCTGAGGTGAGCAATGGCATCCAAGCAGGAAGGCAGCTGACCTTGACTTAAGAGTCATGCCTGACTGAACCCTCCAGAGTTAAAAAAGACACCACTCTAGCCAAATATCAAGTATTCTAGACCGGGAAGTAATGTGCCACAGAATAATGAAATCCAGCAAGCAGGAGTCAAAGGGGATTTGCAAATACTTCACATTTAATTTTGTCATTTGTTCTTGATAACAATTTAAGATGCAGCCTGTATTGTTTATTAGCCAACTATGAAATAACATAGAAGAAACAGAAAACTCATTAGTGGATGGGGCTGAGGGCCTGTGAAATAGAAGAAGAGAGTCACACTTCCCATTTGGACTGACATGGGAGTTTTGCCCCTGTGCTGATCTCAGAGTTCTGTGTAGCTTTTCAACAAGCCAGCACCAGGCAGAATATCCTAGTCACTAACTCTGCCATGAATCAGATCAACAGAGTCACTTCCATTCTAGGGAATGGAGGCACAGTACCCTCCAGTGGAAAGGCTGGTGTTTGTGCTTGCTGTGAGACATTCTGACAACACTCAGCAGCACTTTTGTGGGGTTTTCTTGAGTTCCCAAGGACCCTTGTGTGAAGGATAGCTTCTTGGATGTTTGTCATGGGTTCTCCACAGTGAGGCCAGGTCTTTGAGTAGAACAACAGGGCCACAGGTAGTCTTCTCTGACATTTGTACCCACCTATTTGAACTGTGTTTTCAGGTGTCCCCTTCATAAGGGATTGCTACATGTTATGATTTGACTCTGAAACATCCCCCAAAAGTCACAGTTTTGAACATTTGTTCCCCAACTGGTGGTGCTATTTTTGAGAGGGTGTGGAACCTTTAGGAGGTGGGGACTGGCCAGTGTGAGTAGATCACTAGGGGAAGGAAGGCTTATAAAGGTCATACCCAGCCCCTGGTTCCTGTCCCACTCTGCTTCCTGATCCACAAAGATGTGAATAGCCTTAATTACAGGTTCCACAATGACTTCCCCATCATGGTCGACCGAAATCTTCTAAAACCATGAGACAAAATAAACACTTCTCTTGAGCTGTTCCTGTCAGGCACTGCAGTCAATGGGACATAAAAGTAGCTAATTCACAGTGTCCACAGTCCGCCTGTCTTGCTATTATAAACGTGATTCATGACGTGGCATGGGCCAGTTAAAGCCAAATGGATACCTTACATCCTCTCTGAAAATCTATGTTTGACTTCTCTAAAGCCTGACAGTTGCAGAGAAAGTAAAGGAGAGGTTGGCACACACATGGTAACTGGTACTGGCTTCCCAAGTTGCTGGAAAGGCAGAGAAGAATGGATCTCCAATAAAAGACAAGGGTTCTGGGCCTGTGGGCCTGGCAGAGCTTGGATGGATTCTGATAATTCATGGCCAGGGAGCTGTAGTTTAGCTCAGTGGATGCTGGTTCTAAAGACACCAAGATGTCCATGTCACACGCATTTCCCCCCAGTTGGGCTAGTGAGCTTTCTGTTGTTTTAAGACCAAGGCCTGAGCACTAACTAATCCATACCAGCTGTGTATGTCTGGGGTTGTTTGGGAATCCAGGAAGAGATACAGAGCACAGATCTACTTCTTCCAGCCTGCACCCCGCTCCTTGGTTTACAGTGGATGCTCTCTTGATGGCCATCCACATAACTGGATAGACTGTCCTTCATTCCTTCCACTCACTGACACCCTGGACCCAAGTCCTGAGGACGGCAGGCTGTTCCTCAGTGCACCTGAGCCCTTCAGATCCTACCAGCCAAATCACAGGCTGACCAACACTGAGACGTGTTTGTTTACAGTCCTCCTGTGCCAATTGTTCCTGGATATGCCAATTACACAATTCAGTTAAATATTTCATGAACTAATAAAATATGAATAATAAAAGGAAGTGTTTTTTCTCTATGAGATCTAAGTAGAGCACTTCAAGGGAGGTTTAATAAAACAAAGCATTGAAATATTGATATCATGTTATATAAAGAAAGAAATATGACAAAAGACAGGAGAGATGATTGAAAATCTGTGAGTTCTAAATTCACAGTTTCTGACTAGTATTTATGAACTTGCTGTTCTTAAAAGAATCCCAACTTGTACATCCTGTTTTGGTAGGGTTAGGGTGGCTTGCCACTTAATTCAAATCAGAAAATATTTGGTTAGCATCTGTTAATTTCAAGACATTTTTGACATTTAAAGAGGAAGTAAATGTTTTTTCAAATATAACTCATTTTTTAAAAATTTGTTGATTTTTTTGGTGTGTGTATATCATCCAGAACATCCCAAACAATCTTATTCATCTATATACCCACTTCCCAAATGGCACCCTCCCATAGCCCCCCCACACCAGAGCCCATATACTCTGTCATCCCTGTTACTGTCCACTGTGTTGCTGGCAACCCCAGCTGTTCCCTAGAGCTTGCCCATCCGCTGAATCTAGTCAGCCTATCTAGAGATCCTTGTTTTAGGAAGATCAGCTGTTCCTCATCTAGCAGCAATCAATTGTCAATATTCCTTTAGATAGGATTGGGGTCTGCTGTTCATTTTCCCAGTTCTATGCCAGGATACTTTCTGGGAGTCTCTTGGGCCACCCTGGCCAACAACTCAAAAGAAGGTATCTCCTGTCTGCCATTGTTTCTTGTTATGTAGCCTTTAGCTATACATATGGACTCTTAAAAAATTATATTGGCCCCTTTAATCTTTTGTTATACTTTCCTTTTGGATGCTTAAGACCCTACAGTTGGCCCAGATAAACCAATTTATTTTTATTCTTAAGGCTGTTTGAGGATCTGTTCCTCGGGGGTCACATGGGCTTGAGGGGAGCCCCTGGCTCCTTTCTTTTACCAGTTCCATCTATGTGAAGAGAAGTCAAAAGTCCTGCTCGACCATGGCTGGCTTTGCTTGGAAGCATGGAGGAAATGTTTACTCTGTGTTGACCCTCCTTTTTGTAGACTGGACACTGGTTCAAGTCCATTTGGTAGGGTCTCCACAGCCTC